ATATATATATAATTATTATTATTACTTGACTGGACTTATTACAAGTCCATGGACTGACTTTCACTTTTGATTCTGCAAAACCAGCCTGAAGAAAGGGAATGAGAAATACTACAATGATGGCCAAAGTACTATACTCACTGTTTTGACTAAAGCATAACTAAAAAGTTATTTTTAAATTAACAGTAAGACCAACATTACTAACATTTAAATTTTGGGTTGATTTACTAATTTTAAATCTTTTAGCCATAAAGGAGTCTATTAAAGACTCAATATACATGTGTTTGGACAGAAGATATCAGTATGATTGTCAAAAGGTGGGAACATGATCCAGTACTGGTGCATTAATCTGAACTTTGTAAAAGTTGTTAATAAACACCATCCTGAGGCCAACTACTTCAATTTAAAACCATTTTACTCTTTACCAGGAAGGTATTTTCACCCTTTGTCATTGTAATTCAGTGACCGTGTTATTCAGATGAAAAAGCTCTTTTTTTCCTCGTATGGCCTTCCAGTATTCTACGAAAAATGTGTCTTAGCAGGTTTTCAGTTTGGAGTCAATCCAGCTGCCTCCTCGCCTCAGCTGAATTGTGCACTTGGCTGTTTGTGTTGTTGCTTGTTGCTCAGTGCTCCAGGGTTTTGGTGGTGCGGTAGGACAAATGTGCCTGTACCTGTCAGAGTTTAGTTTCATTCTGTGGCGACTGTAGCTACAGGGTTTATTAACATGATTAATTCATCCATCCATCTACCCCATTATTCATATAATCTCCAAAGTGACTCCAGTGAGAATGAGGTGTGATTGCTGTCACATACCCGTCCTTCCACCTTGTCGTTCTTTTTAAACTGTGAAGTCAATATTAGTTGTCTCTCTTTGAAAAACCGGGGTACTTTGTATCACTGCTGATGGCTGATGTAGCTCCGGCAAAGTGATCATTTTATCAGCGGCACACAGGCTGATTTGTATGAAACCGTCTATAAACATGAGTAATTACAGTTTGACAACATATGAATATCACATTGTGAGGAAGTATAAGACCAGATATTGCTCTTTGGATTTTGGTCATGGTGATATTGTGATGTTGATAAAAATGTCACGTTTTCCTGCATTAAGTGATACATGTGTTTATGTTTGACTGTTTCAGCTTAATGAAATGAACATTGAATGCATCTGGCCTAATAATCCCAAATGATTTACACATAATTACATCCCTTATTCAAAATAAATAACTTAATTTAAATTTAACCAAAATCCTTAAACCTAATCTTAATCCAATTGAATTTAAACCTAAATCATGTCTGTGATTGCATTTTAGTACTGATCAGCTGAAAATACGAATTGAAAGTTACTGTAACAGCATTCTTGCCTAATGCCTGTGATGAAATATTCCTCCCGAGCTCAGCTCATTTTTTTTTTTTTTTTACAATCATTCCAATTCAAACAATTTTAGCACATAAACAGCCAAATGCAGTTGTTGAACCCTGCAGCTGACTAACTTGCTCAAACAGATTTTTGTAAGAACTTTGACTGATTGAAATACAGAAGGGCTCTGGATCCAACCAGTGTTTTACATGAATTAACAAGAATGTTGATCTTCTGATAGCAAGAAGCTGTTCATACAAGAATTCATGCAGGCGCTTCTTCTATTCTACCAAACCTGTGCTGCTTAATGTCTTTGCTTACATGTTGTTTGTTGAGTGTTAGAAGCATATGTGGCAGCAATGCTTTGCCTTTGAATCTCTGGCTTTCCTGCATGCTACCTGCTAAATTACATTTAAAACATGCTTGAACTTAATCAGAGATGTGATTTGGCTTTTAGGGACTTTCAGTTCTGTATCTTTAAGAAGAGTTTTTTTCTTATATTTATTTTATTTTGTGTCCCTAATCACATTTTTCTTTAAACAAAAAAAGTTGCTTAGCTGTAGCAAATAGTGCCGTTTGTGGAAAAACACCATCCACCAGCCAACTGCTGCTTAATTTTGCTTTGTAAGTTTTTTCCAGACAAATTCATCCCGTCTTACAGTTTACAGTATTTTTAATTGAACAAATCATAAAAATTAGATTTTATTATGAAAGTATTAATACTCGTTTAAGTATCTATGGCTGGTGGATACGACTAATACACTGCTCCTAAGGAGGAAATCTCTTTTAATTTACTATTGCTTTGTCTTCCAGATGCAGACATTAAGCGCAGCGTAAGCTCCAGCGGCAGGTCTTTTCTCAGCTCAGAGTCCATGTAAGTAACATTTCCTGTTTCCCTTCATCCTCCAATATTAAATGATAATGTCATTTTTTAATAATAAATAACATGAGTTAACAAAAAACTCCAAGGTTTTTTACTTAAATGTAAAAATAATTAGCAGTTAATATGCACCACGTTTTATGTCGGCTCTGTCGATTATGACAGTGCTAAACAGAGAAACACATTTCTAAAATAATATTGTATATTCTGTCCTCCTTTTTCAGCTCTCCATCCTTCCTCCAGTCTAACTCAGCTGAGTCAGTAGCCATGGGTTTACTCAGGCAGTTTGAGGGCATGCAGCTTCCTGCAGCCTCTGAGCTCGACTGGCTGGTCCCAGAACACGACGCTCCACAGAAGGTACAGCATCTTACACATGGCATAAAATCTGTAATTAAAAACTTAATTTGTAGTATGCCGCACTCTCCCAAATGTACTTCCTGTTATTCACACAACAGAACTGAACTTTGAACTACTCGAGCACTTCGCTCTCTCCTAGCTGCTGCCCATACCTGACTCTTTGCCGATCTCGCCTGATGATGGCGAACACGCCGACATCTACAAGCTGAGAATTCGGGTTCGAGGAAACCTAGAGTGGGCGCCGCCCCGACCGCAGATTATCTTCAACATTCATCCCGCCCCCAAGTGAGTCCGCACCAGGTTTTACCCGCCCAAACCTGACTGTCTCACTTTGTTTTTGGTTTAATCTGCCATTCACTTGTCATCACTTGTTATCTTTTTCATGACAAATACCACAGAGTTGGCGTAAATATTTGCTAATGAAATGCAAATTACAGTATAATTGGCTGGTTGAGCCTAAAGCATTTTAAATGATTGAGGCTTTTCTGGATCAGAAATGGCTGTAGGCTTAATCTCATTATGTAACACCTCTTATAATAACTATGTGGAGACGGAAAGACCTTGGAGCAAAAATGTAAGTCTTTCCTCTCCAGTTTGGCATCCACATCAGATACAGCTTCCCAAAAGGCCCATGGAGAAACAACATGTTGCTTGAAAAATTGCAAATATTTATTCATGCTTATTTATTGCTTCTGACAGGCACAAATCACGCAGACATCTACAAGCTTTTACATTTGCACACACAGAACAAAAGACCAACATAAGTGGCTGTAATGTAACATGTTTTGAGCTCTGAAAGATTTTTTCCAAGTATTTAGCCTAAAGCTGTTTTTGTTCATTGATATTGATCAGATTGGTTTGGAGCCAGTTCACCATTTCTAAGTTTGTAGTGTACATAAAGTCATATTCCCTTTAATGAAGGCCAGACCACTGTCCTCGCTCTTTGTCCTTTGTTTAATCTTTGTTGTTGTGACTTTTTTTTTACCCTGTCAGGAGGAAGATAGTTGTGGCTAAACAAAACTACCGCTGCGCTGGCTGTGGCACCCGCATTGACCCAGGTATGACCAGCAAACTACAGAAATACACATCTCTGTTAATCAAACAAAATCAAAATGTCTGTTTACATTCACATTTTCAGTTCTCGTTTTTTTTTTTTAACTATAAGACTTTTTCCCCACTTTGTGGCATTTCCCTTTTATGTGTAGAAATGTTATGCAGAGATTTTTCTTCTCAGACACAGTATCACCCCCCACTTTTGTTTCTTCTGCCTTTCCACACTTCAGATTATATCAAGCGACTGCGTTACTGTGAATACCTCGGCCGTTATTTCTGCCAGTGCTGCCATGAGAACGCCCAGGCGGTGGTTCCTGGCCGAGTACTGAGGAAGTGGGACTTCAGCAAATACTATGTCAGCAACTTTGCCCGGGACCTGCTGAGCAAGATTGCTGGAGACCCGCTGTTCAACCCCAATGACATCAACAGTGGCCTGTACAAGAAGTTTAAAGCTCTGGAAACTGTCAGGGTGAGCACAGAGGCAGCAGTGGGATGGGAAATTCCTCATTAACCAGAGGGTTGAAAATTCTGACTATGTTGAGTTTTTTTTTTTCCCCCAGTAACTAGTGGGAATCCAACCAAAACAACCATTTTCAGTTCTGTCTAAAAATCAGCTGATAAACTGATGATTGTGTCATTTAAAATGGTACTGCATTCTCGGAACATGAATTATCCTAATTGTAAAAGGGTGACTCTGAACTTGTGACTGATTTTGCTGCTTAAAATACTCAAATTATCTGTCTGGAAAACCAGAATGAATAGAACTATTTATGCTCATGAAAACAAACAGTGAGGTGATACTGAAAAAGACACTTAATCTAATTCCCTCAGCAGTTGTTGCTCAGTAGCCGACATTAGTGCAGGACTGTGTGACACATACAGTACTTTAAGAATTAGAGTTTAATTATACAGCAGACCAAAGCAGTCACATGAGTAATGCATTCTCTGGGCTTTGGGTTGATAATATATAAACACTCATCTATTTAAAAAAAAAAATAAAATACAATATTCAATCTAATTACTTTTGGTGTGCACTAAATTAATTTTATTTGGAATTCAGTGCACAACAGTGTGATTTAAATTATATGATTAGGCAGAATTGTGCTGAAAGAGCAAAATACAACATTAAACTTTCATTAATGGATACAATTGTACAGAATTGTAGAAAAATGTATCAAGGCAGCTTATACCTACTGGGAAATAGAAAGAGGAGACATTTTCGCCCCTCAATCAGCTGGCAGGGACACTGAAACACTTAAATCTAATACTGAACCTGGCCTTCCTCTTCCTTCCAACATGCATTCAACTGTAAAGCTGTGTGTTTCTGTTACTGTATAGTATGTTAAAGTAACAAGATTATGTTTTCTCCATGTTGTTATTGTTTAGGTTTTGAGGGTGCAGCTGTTTCACATGAAAAATCTCTTCAAGACCTGTCGCTTTGCTAAAGAGTAAGATGTCTGCTTTTTTAGTTTCACAATCTTATCAAAATCTTGTGTGCACAAAAGTATAACATCCTTCGTGTGTCTGTGTGTGTGTGTG